TCCGTCCCAGGGCAGGGTTGTCTGCAGTCGTTGTCGTCTGTCGAACTTCTTGCCCGTCCCCGTGCCCGAGCACGTAGGCGTCTCAAYTGCAAAGACCCCCGCCTCGTCCTCCCTCTGCCCTGGCCCTGCGTCGGCCTCCAGCTCCCCGCTCCATTCCCTCCTCTTTCTCGGAGCTGGAAGCTTCCCTGCGACTTCCTTGGTCAACCCGCGTCCGTCCTAGTCCAGCGCCTCCTCCTCCCGGGCCTCTTTGTTGGCTGCCCCGGGCCGGGGTTTTCCAGTCCATCCCGGGGGACGCCCACGCATCGCTGCTGTCCCTATTTCTCTCCTTCCCACCCCCATCTTCCCTTCCCCCCGAGTCTCTCTCTCCCTCTCCCCCACCCCGCCACACACCACGTGTCTCCAGGGCGTCTAGAGTTCAGCGTCCTCCTGGCCTCTGTAAAGGGCACTACCATTTGTCCTGAGTCTCACAAATAGAGACTGGGGGTTGTCCCCCTCCACCCTCACCCTCACAGTCAGTCCACTACCAAGGCCTATCCAACTTTCTGATCTTTTTTTTTGGGGGGGGGAGGTACTAGTAATTGAACCCCAGGATGCTCTACCATTGACCTACACCCTCGACTCCCCCATACCAGCCTTTTTTTTTTTAATTAAATTTTTGAGACAGGGTCTCAGTAAATTGCAGAATCTGGCCTGGAACTTCCGACATTCCTTCCAAGTCACTGRGATTGGAGGTGCTGACCTCAGCGCCTCCTTTGGTCCATTTCTTACTGCTCCTTTCTTCCTGAATTGTGGTTGCTCTTTAAGAAGCATCTTGCCTTCCTCCTTTGGCAGCCAGAAGGATGATTAAATCACCAATCACAGTCACTTCCACCACCACCACCCTCCCCGAAACCAAACCAAACCAAACCAAACCAAACCAAACCAAACCCAATCTGGGCAACTTCCCATCTTGCTCAGGATTTGGTGTGCACAAGATAAACGCCCCTGTGGCTCTTTCCTCCCTTGTCTCTCTCAACCATTGACCTTCTTATAGTTTGTTTAACAAACCATGCTCCTTCCTGTCGCAGGGCCTTTGTTCATGCTCTCTCTTCTACCTGGAATGCTCTTTCTCAACTTTTTTTTTTATCTGATTAAATTCTTATTCCTCAGGGACCATAATGCAGTGTCATTTCCTCAGAGAAGTCTTTCTCAACATTCATCTGTTCATGTAATAGCAGTGCTGGAAGCCCAGACTGTGGAGAAACTCTGCTGTTCGGGGAGTTACAGGGGAGCAAAGAGTCCTAAGTAATCAAAGAATTCCAAATAAGATGATTCCTGGTAATAGGTGTCTACTGGCTCAGAGGACAGCCAGGCCGGTAATATCAAAGAAAGGACTGAAGAGGAAACTGATCAGAGAAGGGGCAGGTTGGGGTTGTGGAGAACCTGGTGTTTGGATTTTATTTACAATTCCCTAGGCAAGAGGCCAGGTGGGAGTCCTAAAAGAGCAGAACCCTGTTCTGATTTGTTATTAAAAATATGGCTCTGACTGTATCTCAGTCATAAGAAGGTAAGAACCCAATTTTTTAAATATTTGAACAGATATTTCACCAAAGAAGGCATATGAATATTCAATAAATTGCAAATATGCTCAGCCTCATTAGACATCTAGGTATGCAAATTAAGACTGCAGTGAGATACTACTATATATCTATTAAAATACCTTAAAATGGGGGAGCATTATTAAGTACAGGTGAGGATGTAGAGTCACTGGAACTCTCCTATACTGGGGATGGGGGGTGTCAATTATTATCACTGCTTTGGAAAAGTTTGGCCATTTCTTAAAAAGTTTAACGTTGGCTTACTGTGTGACCCAGCCATTTTATCATGCTATTTACCTGGTAGAAGYGAAAGCAAAGCATGTGGGTGTTCAAAGACTTGACCGTTACAAACACCGCCGATGTATTTTTAATAGTCAACTCTGAAGTCTTGACTTCTTCTTTCCTGYGTGAGCCAAAGGACAGATAACTCCTCCTGAGATGGGAAGAAAGTTATTTTTGCTCCCCACCCCCCAGGATTAGGGGAAAGRGAGAAGAGGAAGGGGAAAAGTATCAGTTTTAAAATAAGCTTTAAGGGGAGGGGAGGGGGAATAGTAGAGGATAGGAAAGATAGCAGAATACAACAGTCACTAGTATGGCAATATGTCAAAACGTGGAYGTGTAACCGATGTGATTCTGCATTCTGTATAGGGGTAAAAATGGGAGTTCATAACCCACTTGAATCACATGTATGAAATATGATATGTCAAGAGCTTTGTAATGTTTTGAACAACCAATAAAAAAAAAATAAAATAAGCTGTAGTGGCACAGTACCACTGAGGAGGGGAATATTACTTTATAGCACTCTTTGTAAGAGTGTTACTTAATTATTGGTCTCTAAGAGTGCCCTTTAAATACTTGTTTAAATTGTAACATTTCTATGCTAGGTTTTTTAGATAGATAGATAGATATTAGAGACGTAAGCTTACAGTTATCTTGGGAAACTGCTGCCTGTAGTGAAGGCCACTTTGTGATATCACTCGCAGGTGTTTCTCTGCCTTTGTCCTGCATCTGTGAACTGCTTATCGAGAGAATTCCTGTGCATGGTCTTTGGTCACATAGGCCAAGAATTCAAACCCACCAATGTTGTAATAGCTAAGAAATGAARTCACATTTTTTATAAAAGTCCCATGTTACCTCAGCTCAGGGTCCAGAATTTCAGAGCACTAGCTAATTTGGGTGCACTGGCATAACTAACCTGAGTTCTTCAACCCTGAGTGGTGCTTGGTCTCTTGCTGAACGTGATTTCCACAACAGCACAGTTTATCTGTCTAGTTTTTTGGCTGTTAGGAACAGTCCAGTGTATTGAAACTGGAGTTTAAGACAAAATCAGATTCTCTGCTTCTGCCAGTGGATAGGATCTGTGTAAGTTATAGGATTCTGCAGCTGAGAAAGCCCATTCTGATTAGCAGCTCTCAGTGGCAAGCTGTGTCTCCCAGTATKGCAGAATGCCCTAGCAGCTCACCCATAATTTCTTTCTGGGTTCTTGTCTTGTGAATTTGAACAGTGAAATCCATGGACAAGGAAAAGTGAGTGTAAAAGATTTGTTCAAGTGAGAACAGMTATACCTCCTGGAGGGCAAGGGGGGACCCACTAGGAATTGCCTCTTAAGGGTACTAATCTAGAGGCTTATATAGCTACTGGGTATAGGCATCGATTGGTTATGCTAATCAGGAATTGGAAAAGTACCAAGACTACTGATTAGCCCTTGAGTCTGTAGCCTATACTCAGGTCTGTTTTGCCTCCCTTTCCCCACTATCCCTGGATAAAAGAGTTGGTTGGAATGTTTGGTTTCCTTCTATAGATTAATTTCACAGATAGCTTTAGAGAAACCTTAATGGAATCCCGTTCTTCTATTGTCTATTTACTATCTATCCTATCTTATCCAGTACCATTCCTCTTGGCTAAATTCTTAGGAATTCTGGGTCACATGGCAGGGTGGTGGGTTTTTTCTTTTTTTTTTTTCTTTTCTTCCTATCATGGGGCTCCCTCTAGTTGCTTTCACACTGCCCGCAGCCTGCACAGGGTGGTTTGGGAGCACAGAGGAGGGAGTAGTGGACGGGTGGGGTGGAGGAGCCGGCCTGAGTCCTCCACATTTCAGGTCTTCACACTGTCCCAGCTGCCCGTCTCCCTGACCTGCACAAGCTGCAGCCTCCTTCCAGTTTGTACCCACTCTGCAGCAGCAACCAAGTCTGGTTCTCTCCTAGAGAAAAGTGGACCCTGTCACTCCCTCATCTTCATGGAGTGCCAAGTCACTTGGGATAAAGGCCCAAGTCATTTATTTGGCCCCCAAGGCCCAGACTACCCTCCTCCCAGCCTCTCTCCCACTTTGTCCCTGTCTGGGCTTAGGGCTCCAAGAAACCCCTTTCCTCAGGCGTCCATCCGGAGGCTTACTTTCTTTTCATGAGAATGGCCCTTCTCAAGCCAGGATGGCTGGTCTGTCCAGTGAGAGCAGGATACTGGTGGGGAGGCCTGGGAGACTGTTACGATTTGGGTATGAGGTGTCCTGCAAAAGCTCATACATGAGACAATGCAAGAAGGTTTGGAGGAGAAATGATTAGGTTAGAGCCTCAACCTAGTCACTGAATTCATCCCTGAAGAGATTAATTTAGTGGTAACTGGATACAGGTTGGGGTGTGGCTGGAGGAAGTGGTTCATTGGGGGCGTGGCTATGGGGTGTATGTGTATATTTTGTATCTGGAGAGTGAAGTCTCTCTGCTTCTGATCGTCATATGAGCTGCTTTCCCCTGCCCTACTCTATGCCATGATGTTCTGTCTCAAGACCTCGAGTCTGGAGGAATGGAGCCAGCCTTCTATGGACCAAGACCTCTACAACTGTGAGTCCTCAAACTTTACCTCCTCTACAGTTGTCCTGGTTGTGTCCTTTAGTCACAACAGTGAAAAAGCTAACTAAAACAGGGGTCTTGGTGGAGACTGTGGCTTCAGGGTTTAGCTGGAGTCTGACTCGGGTCCCAAGGTCCCAGAAAAGTAGCTGGTCATCTCGGAGTGAAGTACCCCCAGTGTCCCCTCATGCCCAAGTTCAGCCCATATTTCCAGCCCAGTTTAGGCCCTGAGGTGATGACATTCCCCCCAACCCCTCTTTAGTGAACTTCAAATGAGGATCAGCCAATGTAAGAGCAAGGAAGTCCAACAAACTTATTTTTCTCACAATGACCACTTGGATGCTTTAAAAAATATAAAATGAGAATATTAATGTGAACAAAATGTATGCATTCGTTTGTTTTCCGATCTCTTATTTTCCTCTGGCCCCTTTGGCTGGTCAGTGTTGACAAACACCAGTGTCGTTGGTGTATCTGGTCCCCTAAACTCTCTGTGCCTTGGCCCAAGAGTGATCCCAGGGAGCCCTGGGTCTCAGGTCTCTCCCTCTGTACCATAACGTCCAGTAACTTTTTGTTAAGTGAACCAAAGAATGTTTACATCAACTTCRAGTTTTAAAATTCATTTAAGGAGAAAATTCTTTTCCAAGAAGAGGAGGTTGTTAAAATGGAAAAGAAAACCATTCTAGAAAGCAGACCAGGAAGACAGTCCAAGTGTTTTGCTGTAAAATACACTTCCATTTCTGAAACGGGAATCTCCTTCATGACGCTGGTGGAGGAGCAGCTGGAGGGCCCTTCTTGCCAAAGTGTTTTCTTTGAAGACATAAATCGATAAAAGCAAACAGTGCTGCCACACCCATGAGGGCCTGGAAAACAAAAGGATCCTCAGAACATTGCAAAAAACATCCTGTTTTGTAATTCATCCACTGATGCCAGTTAACATACCCCCTTGTCCACTCAAACTTCCACACTGATGAGTTCAATCCTCCCCCTCCCCTGTCCTTAAGTCTCTTTTTCTCTTTAGAACCAACCAGGCTAGGTGGTGGTGCAGGCCTATAATCCCAGCTGCTTAGGAGGCTGAGGCAGGAGGATCACGAGTTCAAAGCCAGCCTCAGCAAAAGCCAGGCGCTGAGCAACTCAGTGAGACCCTGTCTCTCAATAAAATACAAAATAGGGCTGGGGATGTGGTTCAGTGGTCGAGTTTCCCTGAGTTCAATCCCCAATACAAAAAAAAAAAAAAAGTATTAGAACCAACCAGATGGGACCATTTGCTTTGGGGTCAGCCGCTTCAAGAAGGAAGCCATTAACTTGGGTCAGCTCCCTGGGCATCATTAACCAAATGGCTTTTTCACTGGAAATATTTACCAATGTTAGTTTTAAACTTGGCTTTCATCTCAAYAATTTTTTTTGTGTGTGTGTGTGAAAATGAGCTCTTTCCTTAAATAAGGAAAACACCCCAATCACTCAAGACTCACCACACCAATGACRTACTCCACTGGCATTGTTTCTCGACTGTTTACAGCAAAGAATATGCCGCCCACAAGGAACCCGAAGCAGCACAGGTCGTTGAGGAGGTCCTGAGAGTGGGAGAGAGAGTCAGCCTAGCTTCCTGTTTTTCAAACTCCTGATTTTTAAAACCTATATATAACATATTAAAAGGTATATGTGGCCCAGGCTAGGTGGATATACCAGTGCCTCYCAGCTGGGGTCTTTAAATAGGGGATTCAAAGTCCAGGCTTAACTGCCCTGGGCTACAGCCTGGGGAGACACACAACTGCCACCAGCCATMTCCTCTATAAAATCACACATCTGGTCCCCCCACCACACATACAACTTCCTGGTGTTCCTTCTGAGGACTGCCTGGCGTGCTCTTTCTGCTCTCAGGGCCTGCACTCTGGAGCAGGGGTGAGCTGCATGGCTAGCAGGAGGTCCCTCACTGGGAGCCTGGAAGCTCCCTCTTCAGCCCTGCCCCTGCCTTTCTTCCTATATCCCCTGCCCTCTTTAAGGCAGGAAGGCTGCCTCCTTCGTAGACCTTTCCCTCCATTCCTGCGGCTTCAGTCTTGCCCTTGCCATCTTCTTGCCTCCCTGGCCCTACTAATAAAGCTTCTTTGAGTTGGCCAAATGATGACCATTATCAGACCAGCCTCCCCTTCTAATGCTCCTGGATGAGAGCCTGGGACAAAAACGTGCTTGCCCATGAGAGGCTGCCAATCCTGCAATGTTTGGCTCCACCACTTCCCCCTGGGTTTCCATCATGCCATCTTCTGCTGGTTGTCCTTCCCTGGCCACCACACATCTCAGGTCTTTTGTTTTGAATTTGAAACATTTCAAATGCACAGAAAATAATACAACATCCCACCTCCACCAGATCACCAAGCCCTGAAATTTCATAGATATTAACATCTTGCAATATTTGCTTCACGATCTCTTAAAAACATGGAAGAGACCTTAACTTTATAGAATGAGCTACCATCTTATCCTCCCATCCCTCTTCCTGTCCCTCCATCTCCCAGAAACTGATATGCACTTTTCCTGAGTTTGAATATTCCTACATATTATATATTCATAAACAATATATTTTGTGTTTCAAAAGTTTAAATAAAGGTAGCATATTTTCTGACACTTGCTTTTTATTTAATTATTTTTGTTACTGAGGATTAACTCAGGGGCACTCAACCACTAAGCCACATCCCCAGCCCTATTTTGTATTGTATTTAGAGACAAGGTCTCACTGAGTTGTTTAGTATCCTGCCATTGCTGAGGCTGGCTTTGAACTCACAATCCTCCTACCTCAGCCTCTTGAACTGCTGGGATTACCATGCCCAGCAGACACTTGCTTTTTAAAGTTTTTAAGATTTATCCATATTGAGAAACATATTTATCACTGTTAGCTGATGTAGTTTACTGTAGGAATGAACCAATAGAGAGTTTGTTTCTACCTTTTAAAAAAATCCTTCTTCCAAACTCTGCTGCAATGATAATCCCCCTTGTCTGTGCACCCCACCTACCCCTGCCAATCTCCTTAGCTAGGTTTTACCAAGCTTTGTCTCTGAAGTGCTAGTGGCGTTTACACTTGCACCAGCCATGAGTAACAGCTCCTGTCTCCCATGCTCCTGTCTCCCATGTCCTTGCCAACACCCAGGATCATCTGGATTATTAATATATTTGCCAATCTGATAAATTGAAATGGTGCCTCCATGCTATTTTAATTTTGATGCCTTTGGTCACTAATGAATATTAAAATAATATTAGAAAAACACATGTTTTAGGTATGTGGACCTCCTCTTCACATCCCTTGTCCTATTTGTATATGGTTTGTTTTAAAATTTTTATGTCTTCTGTTGTAAAGTTTTAATTGTAAGGGATACATAGACTGTCCCTCTCTCTTCCTATCTCCCGCAGTACTCCCAGGAACACTTGATGACTATTCTGTTCAACGGTTTTGTAATGCCACCTCTGTCACATATCAAGCCACCATATAATGGAGTCTAAGTTCTCTTTTCTATTTCTGTATTACTCTGCTCAGGCTGCCATAAGAAAATACCACAGACTGGGTGGCTTAAAAAGCAGACATTTATTTTCTTATAGCTCTAGAGGCTAGAAGTCCCTGATTAAGGTGCTAAAATTGGTTTCTGGCAAAGGCTCTTCCTGGCTGGAGATGACTTTTTCCCTATGTCTTCATATAACCTTTCTTCACTAATTGGTGTGCATTGAAAATGGGAGAGAGAGAGAGAGAGAGAGAGAGAGAGAGAGAGAGAGAGAGAGAAAACAATCTGATGTCTCTACTTACAAGTATATGAATCCTATGGGATCAGGGTCCCTACCTTATCACTTTTAATCTTAATTACTTCCTTAGAGGCCCCATCTCCAAGTATAGCCACACTAGGAATTAGGTCCTTGGCATATGAATTTGGAGAGGACACAAAAATTTGGGCTCTAACAATCCTATTAGATTTTTTTTATCAGTCCCTGAGCTAGGAAATCTGAGGTCTTGTTGGGCAAATCCATCCCTTATAATTCTTTTAATTCTTCCCTAAGAGTTTTAGAATTGCCTGGTAAAGTTCCATGAAAATTCCTATTAAGTTCTGAATTGAATTGTCATCTTTATGATAGCAACTCTTCACACCTGTGAATGTGATGTATTTCTCCATTTATCTAGGTTTATCTTTGATGATCCATTAATAAAAATTTTATAATTTTTACGTAAGTCACTTACTTTTTGGCAGGTTCATTTATTTATTTGGTGGAACTGGGGATTGAATCCAGGGGTGCTCTACCACTGAGCTACATCCTCAGCCTATTTATTTTATGAATGAGATGGGTCTCACTAAGTTGCCCAGGCTGGCCTTGAACTTGTGATCCCCCTGCCTCTGCCTCCCAAGTTCCTGGGATTACAGGTGTGTGCTGCCACACCCGCCCCACAAGGATTATTATTGTCTTCATGTTATAGATGAGGAAACAGGCTGAGTAGATGCCCAGCAGTTAGGGGACTGCTTTGGGCTGACAGCCTTCTGAACTCAACATCCTCCATGGGAATACTCACAGGAGATGTAAGGCTGCTTTAGAAGTGATATTTTAAAGAAATTCTCATTTTATCTTATTAACTTACAAGTTGGTTGATTTTATTCTTTGAATTCTGCAATGATCTTCCCAATCAGTGTATGCCAGCAAACGTATTAGGAGGAAGAGCTGGTTGTTACATCTTTGCTTCCTTCAAAAACAGAGAAGCTTTTGACTGGCAATAAGAGTCCCCTCCCTACACCACCCACCCCAACACACACAGCTTGGTTGGGGGGAGCATTTTCTGCCTAGCTTTTCCCCACCTGCCTAGCTGCCCCTGCCTGGACCGCATCTAGGTTCTGAGCACGAGCCAGCGAGGTGAGGCTGTTCTGTTCAGTCACTTTCCAGTTGCTAACAAAGACATAGGAAGGGCACACCAACCCGGCCTTTCCCACTGCCCCTCACTTACAGAAACTGGCCACAAGATGAAAACCAGGTATCTTTGGATGGCAAAGCTGTATACGATAATGAAGAAGAAAAAGATGAACACCTCCAAGGTGATGATGAGAGTCAAGGCAGGATGCGCCGTGGCTGCGTTGAAGTATGCCAGTGATATGAACAGGCAGATCTGCGTGGAAAAAATATACATGAGCAGCTGCAGAGGGCTGTCCCTGACTCCCGAGCCCCTCGGAGGACCCCTGCAGCCAGCTCTTCCTCCTCCCCATCCCTGATCTTAGAACCACGGTCCGTCTCACCACACTTATTAACTTGACCACTGCGTGCCCTGAGCGCCAGAACTCTTTGTTGCTGCGTTTCACTTCCCATTTATAGCGGGTAAATCCGGTCCTGGTACCCACTTCATCCGCGGGCTCTGGCTTCTTGGCTTTATCAGCCATCTTTGGCAGGGGCCCTCGCCTTCTCGCGGCCTGCTAACCTCTCCTGCAGTCCGTGGCCAGGTCGGACCTGTTGGAGAGTCTGGTGCTACTGACCTCTCGGGGCGCCCCCAGCTTAGCTAACTGCCTTCATCAGCGAAAACCAACGCCTGCGCCCTTTCCGCGCGCGCCCGCCTGCCTCACCGCGTGGCCCTGCACAGGTCGCACCCACTCGGCGGCGGCCACATCCGTCCACCCTCCACGCAGGAGCCTCCACTGGGTCCCACTTCAGGGAGGAACTTTCCTCCTAGCCAGACTTTGCCAGGCAGTCCCAGGTCTGTGGGCGCCGCTCGCTGGTGCCTTGGGGCCCCGGTAGGCAGGAACCCTGGGGCCACGCCCCTCCTCGCAGCCTCCGGGGCTGGGGGCTCCGCCGGCGCAATACCATGCACAGAACTTTCACACAAGGCAACACCAAGAGGCAGAAGTGCCTCCGACTTAGCAGTCCTGATTTTATGTTCACGTGGAGGCCGGATTGGATGACAGTGTGTGAGCTSAGGAGTAGCACGGAGGGAGTGGTTACACACAGACACAAACGGGTGGATCCGCGAAGGTGCTGGCACGACCTTCAGCTCGCTTGGGGCGTGGGTTTCTTGGCTTTAGGAAGCACGAATTTGACTTTGGCAGCCTTTTTCATGGCAGTCCTCATCTCCTTGGTGACCACCAATGCATCGATGAGGCACACGATTGCCGCTACCAGACAGAAGACCTGTTAGACACAAGACCACAGGAGGGAAGGGAAAATTGGGTTACTTTGCAGCTCAGCGCCAACCCCTCAAGGCTCTCCCAACCTCAGGGCAGGAGCTGTTGAGAGGGGTCTCCTGTAACCTCCATCCTCCCTTTCGCTGCCTGCCCTGCCTTTCTTCCAGATGGGGATGTTGGAAATGGTGATTTTGCTGCCAGAGTGTAACACTCCCGCCCCCATCCCCCCACCTTTACAACTTTCATGCCTTGAGGCATCAGGAAAGCACCAGGGAAACTCTTGCAGGGGTTGGGGGGGGGGGGGACTTCTGAGAAGGTCTCAGTAGAAAAAATTCTTGTTCTGTTTGCAAGAGCAAAATGGGGTGCCCAAGGGACCCAATTGGGAAGAAAAGAACCCAGGCACTAGACTGAAATCTCCTGAATGTGGTGAGGCCAAACCTCTGAGAGAAGAGTCAGACTTGAGGTTGCCCCCATGCAGAGTCTGGTGAGAAAAAGGCTTGAAACTCAGAAAAACCCACTTGCAGTGGTCATGGGATAAATGGAAGGTGAACAAGGCTGGAGCAAGGAGGAGCGTGTGTGTGTGTGTGTGTGTGTGTGTGTGTGTGTGTGTGTGTTGGGCTACTGATACTTAGACAACAATGGGTAGGAACCCCTGCAAGACTTAGTCGCTGAGTTAGTAGATGGGGACCAGGGCAATAGAACTGGATGTTTATTTTCATGATCACTTGATTACTTGATCCCTGGATGCTTAATGAAGTTTACTTGGTAGGTCTTGCCTCTGCTCATGTGTGAGCTCCCCAGGGTGACAGGGCCCTACTATCAGCACTGAGCTGTGGTTTCACATAATCCAGTGGTATTGACAAATTTTTTATTGATGGTGGAATAAATTAAAAGAATTTAAACTCTTTCCTTCCCCTCTGGATTAATTTCTGTCCCCATTGTTTAACTCCTTGAACCAAAGTCCCACCCACCCCCATCTTCCAAGCCTTTACGCGCCATTTCTTGTGTTCTCTCATATGATGTGGGTTTGAGTCCCAGTTTGTCCCAGTCTTGTGACCCAGGGCAAGGTATTGAACTTTGTCTGTAAAGATGAAGTCAGAACATGCCTAACCTGGTGCATGACACCCACTGGCACTTGAGCACGAGGCAGGAGTGCCTTCCTGAAGGGGCTGGGTTACTCAACTTTTGACAATGTGCTACAATCTCTCTTTTCATCTGTTTCTAAAATATAATTCTCTAACCCAGAAAAGTCAGTCTTACTTATAGGCAAAAAAAAAATCTTATATAATATTTCAAAAGTAGTGTATATGATTCTCAAAAGGATTTCTGCAAATTCTTGGTGTTTTTTTTTTTTTGTATTTGAAAAATGCATATTAGGATTGTGATTTTCATGAGCTTAGAGTTGGTGTAACTTTATATCATCTGAAGAAGTCACTGCAGTGGGGATTTTGTTCTGTTAATTGCATAATGATAGTCTGCCAGTTTCCTTTTTTCAGAGTCTTAGAATACCCATCTCAAATGGAGTCTACTTACCCCTCCAATATAAAATAATGGCCTTCTTTCCTTTTCTTGCCCTGTCAAGATGGCAACTACTAAAAGGAATACAGTTGAAATGATACTGTTGATAAGATCCTGTAATGCAAGTTAAAAATGGTCAACTTTTTATGAAAATGGAATTTCATAAAATATTTAAATTGGTCAATTACACATCTAAGAATGATGCCTTTTATACACTTTCCCTTTGAGATTAAAAAGAACCCTCAGAGCAAAATTCTTATATTTTCTAGAGACATGAATTTATGTAATATTTTGTCTTGGATAGGGACTTTCCAGAGATGGGTTCCTTTTGGAACACCATTAAAAAATGCACCACCAACAACAACTTTTCTTAAAGTGCATAGGAAAGTGAGCATAAAAAACCTAATGGGGGCTGGGGCTGTAGCTCAGTGGCAAAGCRCTTGCCTAGCATGTGTGAGGCACTGAGTTCGATCCTCAGCACCACATAAAAATTAACAARTAAAATAAAGGCATTCTGTCCATCTACAATTATTAAAAAAAAACAAAAACTAATTGTCTGGGGCTGGGGTTGTGACTCAGTGGTAGAGCGCTCACCTAGCATGTGCAAGGCGATGGGTTTGATCCAAAGCACTACATATAAATAAATAAATAAATAAAGTTATTGTGTCCAACCACAACTAAAAAATATATATTAAAAAAAAAACCCTAATGGTCTAGGGGCTAGCCCAAATTGACACTGCCTCAATATGATTTTCTGAAGTCTTATAATATTTTAAACTTATGCCTAGTATGCATTCTATTTATAGCACATTTGTTTTAATGTAAAAATAATATTGGAGGAGAAGTATAATTTTAGATTATCACTTTACTGACTGGATTCTACTCCTAAATCTTCAATGCTTTTTAAGTTGCGGTCACATTCATTCTCTGGGTTTACATGCTCTGAGAATGCGTGGACTCCTCTAAGGACCAGGACTGATTTTCTGGAGTGAATGGCTTTGATGTTGACTTTGCTCTTTCCTGAGAGGTGACCAGAATTGTCTGCCCCCACATCTGCAGTTTCTTTTAGTTTTTTTTGTTTTTGTTTTTTTTTTGGTACCAGGGATTGAACTCAGGGGCACTCAACCACTGAGCCACATCCCCAGCCCTATTTTTTATTTTATTGAGAAACAGGGTCTCACTGAGTTGCTAGGCCTTGCTTTTGTTGAGGCTGGCTTTGACCTCCTCTCTCAGCCTCCTCAGCCACKAGGATTACAGGCCTGCACCACCATTCTGGGCTTCGAGGCTTTATTCTGGATTTCAGTWTTGAGTTCTTGAACTGATAGTTCAACCTACCTCTTTGTATGCTGAAAGAAAGGGTGAGGATGAACAAACTCCAGGTGTTCTTCCTGTTRAGGTTGGTGAGCCAGGGCAGTGTGAGCAGATGTTGCACTTCCATGGCTAAGTAACACCAGCCAGTGGCACCCGTGTGTGAGTAGGGGCCAAAGCCTGGGGTGCTAGAAATCACCCGATGGCCCAGATACCTAATTTGAATATTTGAACTATTGATGGCCTGACTGGCAGTAGAGCATTCTAGTGCTCAAACAGAGACAGGAGCCCTGCCATTCGGTGTATGGGATCAGGGTGTTACGAATGAAGCTCATCAGTGTGCCAAGCATTTTCCAGTCATTTTCTCACTTAACCATCAAAAAGCAGCCTCCAAAGTCAATAATATTATGATCCCCATTTTACAGTAAACATAAAGGAGGCTTAGAGAAGATTATTAAGTTGCCTAATATTAAATAACAGAACTCAGCTTACTGTTGCCGCTGATCAGAGACCTAAACTAAAAGTGTAGTATCGTATCTAATTTTTTTTTTGATAGCAGGGATTGAACCCACAGGAGCTTAAACACTGAGCCACATCCCCAGTCCTTTTCAATTTTTATTTTGAGACATGGTCTTGCTAAGTAGCTTAGGCCTCACTAAGTTGTTGAGGCTGGYCTCTTAATTTATAATCCTCCTGTTTCAGTCTCCCGGGTCACTGGGATTACAGGCATGTGCCACCATGACTGGTTTTAATCCGCTTTTGACATTTTCTGTGGAATGGGTCTGGAAGGTCAAAACGTATGGAACAAATAGTTGAGAGTGTTTTTGTTGTTGAACTCTTCTGGCCTGTCATTTCTTACATGTGTGACTTGGAGCAAGTTTTGTTGCCCCTGTGCCAGTTTGATAATTTAATATGGGAATCATCATTGGATTGATCTGAGGATTAAATGGAATAACAAATCTGAAAACATCTGATAATAGGACTCTAGTAGGTAGTGGGAGTGCATCAGAATATGGATTCCTGACATCTGCCCCCCAAATGTGCACAGTAGTAAACTTTCTACAAACTCTAGGTGTTCTTCCTGTTGAGGTTGGTGAGCCAGGACCTCTATCATGGAACATGACTTGCCTCTGGAAAGAGCAAGTCCCGGTCGGGTTCTGCAGGCTAAGTGAGAAGTCTGCCTACAGTGGGTAGGCCTAATTGAAGCAGGCACAGAGTTGACAGTGTTGCAGAAGGCTTAGCACTTGAGGGCTGTGTTAACCAAAATGTTCAAAGATGCAAATGAGAATGCTTACAACTAAGAAGCAGAGTGTGAACTTTTAAAAATCCCAATGAACCAGCCATGGTCCAGGATCATTAAGAATTTGGATGAAAGCACATTAATAATGATATAATAGTAATATAAAATAAACCAGCCACAGACTAGGCCCAGCTAATCT